TTAATTTTAACTGGTTTTCATCTAAATGGCCATGTCACTAGTGGCTATATACTATTAGGCAGTGCAACTTCCAAGTACTCATAGCAGGGTTCTGTTATGCCCCACAGATGTGATCTGAGACACTGGGAAGTTACACGCTCTACATCAGACATTCATTTCTTTAAGTTATGGTTCCTATGGTGTATATTAATGGTGGTGGTACGTGAGAATAGTTTATTGCATATGTGGACGAATACTTGTAAAAGTTTAAAGACTAATTACATATTCATTTTAATTTTGGTTTTTAAATATATCTAAGATTTGTTGATACTTTTTAAACATCCTCTCTTTCTTTCAACTTACATTTGAGAGCCAGCTACAGAACAGAGCCCAGAATTGGGATCTATCGACTGGAAGGCCTCAAGATGTCTGCGCTTTACATGTCTAATGTTCTTATTCCTGACTGTTTCAGACCAACTTATATTAGACAGATGGAGCCAATTAAATCCATCGAGCTTTACTCTGAATCCTTAATACATCGAAGTAATTTCAGCTACTAAAATTAGACATTATTTGCATGGGGATCTGGAAAGCATTAAATTGTTTTTAACTAAGGTCAATTATATTATTTGTAGCCATCATTATACCCTAAGTGTTAAATACAGGAAGTGTTAGAAAACCACACGCCTCAGAATTCTGAAATTATACTAATGTACCTAGCACAACTCAAATAAAACAGCAACCAGCCAACAAACAGCCCTTCAAGCCCTTTTCTTTTAAGTCCGATGAAATTTCTCCAGTTACTTCATGCACTATACAAACTTTGTTAAGGGAAATAAATTCCTTAAGTATTCAGTCAATTTTGCATAATTAACATTTCTTATCATACGTTTAGTTACTTGCTAATTTCCTTGGAATCACAAAACTGATTTTCTAAAGCTGAACAGAAAAAAAAAGCACATCGCAGCACATCACAGCACATCACATCACAATGCTGAAGAAAATAAAAATGAGAAAATGAGTCAGGGAAAGGCAGAGAAACACTGTAAAAGTGCCATATCTTCTTACCTGATCTTGGGACTATTTTAAAGTATTTTTAGAAAAAAACAGAAGTAGAAAGCAAAAAGAATCAGACAAGGGAAAAAAGAAAAATAATGTTATGGTTGAATGAATTACACATTTAATGTATTCCTCTTTAAATGTTACACTCAGAATATCATACTTGGCAATACTCTAACGATACTTTAAAAATATATTGGCATTATAGGTTTTTTTAATATTTGTCTCTGAGCATAACATGAGTTGCCAATGTAAAAAAAATGAGTTACATATAACAGCAACAAATAATAATAATGGTGCAATCAAAACCAGTAGTGTGAAAGCCTTAGAACTGTCTTGGGAAAAAATTATGAGACAATATTCTGGTTTCCTCTCTCACTGGATGTCAGCTGCTACAATTTTCTATATACAAATGGCTAATTCACAAAATGTTCTCTTTTATATATTATCTGAGAAGAGAATCGGCTAGTTATTGGATTATGAAATCTATTAAATCTCTAAATAGAATTTTCCCTTGAGATCCTTTAAAATTCTGCATGTTTTTAGTTATAACTTTTGCTATCTGTGATTATCTAAACATTATATATTTTTAAAAAGTTATTTTTTCCTTATTAATGACATCCACTACAATAAGATTTTAAGGGCTTTCATAAATATATTTATAAAGCAAAAATTCTACTAAGTACATGAGGTTCCAAACTCTATTGAAAAAAGACTAACTCGAAGAAAAATCAGTTCAGTATCTAAACTGGCCACATCAAGGACACAGAATAAACTCCCTGGTTTACTTTGTGGGAAGTGCAATTTACTGTTAGACAATGAAACTTTTTACAACAGATATTTAAACTATAGGAAAATGTCCCTAGGGCTCTGGCTTAGGTGGTTTAATTATTAGCTTTAAAATAACTTCACTGTCAGCAAACAAGCTGTTAATCCAACCAGAGAAAAGAAGTCCCCAAATTCCCGACAGGGTCCTATTTCAAATGCTGTCAGAAAAGTTTGAGCCAAGGTTTTCCCCATACAAAAGTTTTAAACTTCAGTTTTAAGGAATGAATTTGCCACCTTTCCTATTTGTGACTCTTGTCACAGGTAAGTTCATTGTTAGACTCCTAACATCCCTTGTAAACAAACTAATGGCAGAGTTTTACAAGAGATAGTCAAACTCTTGGTAGACAATTCTAATAAACAATATGTAATTTTTTTAAAACAAAAATTCCCTTTTAAGTTTCAATCATGAATTATTCTTTCAGTAATGAGAAGAGAATAGTGAACGATTAATACAAACATTTCTTACTTATTGGAAAATAAGTTATTCCTTTCAACAAAGAACAAAATTTAATTTTGAAGCATTTAACCCAGATAGGTTCTCCCAGTTTTGCCAGTGAGAACTTTTGCTACTATGCTTGAAGCATGACTGCAAAATAGGGAAAAAAAGAACAAATGATTAACATGGTCAATCACATAAAATTAGGACTGAAAACCACAAAAGAAAATAGCAGAGCATGTATACTAGAGTTGACAACATTTCACCAAATTCACATCCTCATCCAAAGAGCACATTTGGGGATGATGTGAAAAATGAAAATGATTTTGGTTTATGATAAATCATGGTTGTTTTAAATTAACAATGAAAAAATAAGAACAATAAAATACCTGGCAGAACGGGCCCCGAGACTGAAGCCCATGTAGCCCTCGGCAGGCAGAGAATCATCGCCCAGTTCCTTAAGGTCCTGCGGCCCGAGATACTTGTCAGTGTCCCCTGTCATTGCATCTTCACCTGCGGATGTACAGCAAGCCAAAATCAGAAGCTTTCCTTTTGAAAATGTGTCCGCTGTGGAGAAACCCGCTCCTCTGGTCAACAGCAAATCACCCATTCTCTCATATTCATATTCTCCTATCCCTTGGATAATATTTGCTGACTGCCGTTTAGCAGGAAAAAGTATAGGCAGAGGTTAGTTCATAATTTCAAGAGTGAATTTAAGTAGCAGGAAGAGCTCTTGGTGTTAAGTACCAATTTTAAAACATTTCTCCATCTCCTTTCTCTCCCTCAAGCCCCAGCTGACCAGAAAAAAGGATCTTTTATACCAGTTTTCTACACCTCACCATGATGAGGGCAGCTTGTTTGAATGGATGTTGATTGCAAACAAAACAAAACAAAACAAAACAAAACAAACAAAACAAAACGCTACTACCTCTTCTTTACCATTCTGGAAATTATATGGGGGAAGGGAACAGACTTTCATTTAAATAGTTTCTCACACACAGAATTTCAGTTTGGGTCTTATGTAAGAAACTAGCCAGTTATTTAATCTGAATTCTAACTGCTCAGTTGGGGAAACGTTAAAACACATCAACTTTCAACTGTTTCTAAGCCTATCACATTAACAACTCAGTCAAGCTGCCCCAGTGCTTGCACCCTACTTGGAAATCAGCTCTACCTTCTATAGAGATCAAATGGTGGGTTTTGGCAGTTTGAAAAAAGGGCCATATAAATTGCTCTTTACCCATCAATACAAAGAGTTAATCACGTAAAATACTTTTACTAGCTACATGTGCATAACATGACCTCACACGGAAAAACCACATTCCAAGAGTGACAGGGCTGGTTTTCCAGATGCCTTTTGCCCTCTGGGACAGTTCCCATCCTTCGCAAAACGTAGCATGGGCTGTAGAAAAGTTCCTTCTGCAAACAGGCAAACTCTGTCTCCTTTTAATGACTCTCATTCTCTTTCTGGACATAAGCTTAGCTGGCTGAGAGAGATTTCAAAAGTGTGTACGTTATGTTTTCTCAAAGGTAAGTGATTCATCCGCCCCAGCTATATTTTCCAATTCCTTTCTCAGTACCGTTTATAATTTCCATTCATTTAAACTCAGGAAACCACAAGAGCTCAGCTTTTAAACTAGCAATCAAATCTAAAAATACACTGTCAACTACTGTTTTTTGCAAATGTAAAAACTAAACAGATCAACTTTCTACTGTGACCCAGTACCCAGAGATTATTTTAAGTAACTATTTACAGCTGGGCCATTTGCACATTCACCACATATGAGACAAAAAACAGCACACACCAAGTACAACTTAAAGAAAGATCTTACTCTGCGGTAAAGCCATTTCCACCAGGCTAGGCGGATCAGATGCTTTCCTGATGTTTCCAGGAATTCTTTAACCAGCGATTTAGAATCTACCTCCAAATCAGACCAAACAAACCAATCCCTGGCTTTTATCCACCATCTTCACCACTACCACCGAGTTCCTCTCAGTATCTTCGTCTCCTCGTAGGCAATTGAGGAATTACACATCTTTTCCTACTCATCAGAGTTCAAAGAGTTTCAATATTTCAGAGAGAGAAAAAAAAGGAACAAAACTTGGCCACTCTTAATTGAGATGAAGATCCTTTTGATCACTCCGCAGACATCCTTTTAAAGCTCCTTCTGATTGGATTAGAAACTCCTCTGGCAAGCCTCTAGCAGGACCCAATGGTGACATAAATGCAAGCCCTGGAGTTATTTGTATGTAAATATGAGGGCTGCTTGAGTGTAGACTTTCGGTAATTTGATACCAGTGCTCAGTGCCTAACCGGGTAACCGAGACAGCTTGGAATCCAGGGAGAGCGAGCGAGTGAGCTAGCGAGCAAGCGAGGTGCTGCATTTAATTAGGAGGTGACTCTTCTCCAACATGAATGAAGAGCCGGCCAATCCAGGTAGAGGAAAAACAGGAGAAGAAAACAAAGAAGTGGCTTAGGCGGGGAGTAGCAGGGAGCTCCAGGCAAACTTTCAACTTTGTTCTCAGCTGGGAACACCCTGAGCTGGAGCCTCGGTTATTTATGGTCCCTGTCAGGTGGAAGGAGGGAGAAAAAAGAGAGGGAGGGCCTGCCCTTGAGTTGAGGTTGTGAAACTGTGGGGCAGAGAGAAGCAGCAGTGATTTCTACAACTCTCCAAGAAGTTCCTGCGAATGCACTTACTCATCACCACTGCCTTTTATCAAGAATTTGAAGAAAAGAGCAGAAGTGAGATAAGCTAGAAAAAGCGAGTGGATGGTCTGCCTTATTTTTGGCTCAACTCTTTCATATTTTTCAATACATATTTTAATACAAAGGAGCAAACTGGTTCTCCCTTCTTGAGCGGTCCCTGGAGAGAGAAGCAGAGAGAGAATTGCTCTCGGCTGGAGGGGTCTTTGCTGCAATGGGTAGGAAGCGGCATGGAGGAGGTCCTTCTGCAACTATACTGCGTTGTTTCCCTCTTTCTGGGACCCCTGGCCTCCCTTCTCAGCTGCTCCACCCTGTTTATGTTGGCCCAGGAGAAAAAAGCTAAGCAGGGGACTTCTGCATCCTCCATCTTTGTACGAGTACGATGAGAGGCAATTTCAATTGCTTTTTCTCAGAATAGCTGGAGACTCAGGCTAGAAAGTAAAGGATATGAAACCATCTTGCTGAAGTAAGTGATTTGTAGCACTTTCTCATGATAATGCAACTATCTCTTGGATTGTTACCTAAATATACAGAAATCTGAATTTGCAGAATTGTTGAAGTGGGAAACATTTGTTTTTCCTGGATAAGTACATAAATAAATGAATAAATGGCTCATCTACTATTAAGACGAAATGATGTTTTAATTTGACTAGCCTGGCTGTAATTAACATTGTAAATATGCAGAAATAGAAGGGAAGCCATTTATAATACTTGGTACATATTGAAAAATATTACCAAGCCAAAGAATAATTTCCAAACCCGTAAAGAAAGGAAGGGAAAGCCATGGTTAAAATGGAGGAAACATCTAAACATTAATCTGTGTTCCAAAACTGCGCTTAAAATCCAAAATACTCAGCAAAGCCTTATTCAATGACTGTCATTCATGCTTCCTCACAGGTATTGCAATGAAAAGCGTCTGCCCTTTTGACTACTTGGCCAGCCTCTCCCTGGCCACTCCTCCACACCCACCCTGACCCCTCTGTTATACAGAAGCATTTCAGTCCCTAGAATCATGAAAGTCTTTAGACTTTGAACCATTACATAGAGTACAGTCTCTTGATGGAACCTTCACCTCTCTTCTTCACCTGAGAAATTTCTCCAGTCTTTGACTCTAGAACTCCTCCCATCCTCACCATCTTAAATGAGGTGACCCTCACAGGAGATTCCCTTATCAGAGTAGATTACCATTAGAAACATCTGCTTGGTCTCTCCTCCTGGATGGTGAGATCCTCTAGATTAGAAACCAAATTTTTCCTTGGCCTGGCATATTGTAAGTGCCCCACAAATATTTTTGGAATTCATGACTGCTTTTATTAAAGAGGTTGGTTATTTTCTCATCTGCATGCCACAGCAACTTAGCACTCTTTTGGCATGTCAAGCCTGATGACTGGTATACAGTCAAACGTAAATAAAATTTTCATTCTGTTTTGTCCATCCTTCTTAGACTTTGGGAATGATCATTGTGAAACCAAAAGAAGCCTGGGGTGGGGGTGGAAGTGGAAGCTGTCAATAACATTGGTCAAAGATTGAGTAAAATAGCCTTATGACATTAAGTAATTATGCGTTCACCATTTTAAAAGAGTGAACACCGTTCTTAAAAGGTATGGAATTTAAGACAACGGTATTATTTTAATGCAGTTTTGCATAGTAGATGCTCTGGATTCAAATCCCAAGTTCCACCATTTACTGATTTGGTGACCTTTGGAACATTCTTTATTCTGAGTTGCAGTTTCAACTCCTACAAAACTGAGAAAGAAACTCTGCCTCTATCCTAAGACTTCTGCCAGGGGCCGGGGGGAGCGGCGTGGGGAGAGGATTAAATGAAATAACGCACAAAGTAAGGGTTTATAAGCACTAATTGTTACTATTATTCTGTAACAGAGCTTTGTCTAGTTCCCGAGCATTTGAAAGCATGAACTCATAGAGTTAGCATTTAAAATGGCTGCTATTTATACCCACAAGGGCAAAATTCAACAATAGCAGCAACTTGTCCCTGTTCTCTTTTGCCTAACACAGGGCCTGGCTCATTATAGGCACTCAACAAATATTTTTTGAATGAATGAATGAACAATAATAACAAAATTAACTCACTTTCCTTTCAATAAATAACATATTCTATAATTATTGTATGGTACTACACACTATTGGACCAAAAATTAGAGAAGAATGACGTGAACTGTACTGAGTGACTTATTAACTGCCTGTAATACATTCCGCAACCCCCAAAATATTCTGATTAGTGGCAGGCAGCTTCTGACCAACACTTCTTATAAGTGTGTACAAGCCAACACAAGGCAATTAGATTAATGGACAGCACTTATACAGCATCAGATGTACCTGGTTTATTTGTTTTTAAACCAAGAACCACAATTTCCCACTTACTAAGAGTACTTATGTAGGTTTGTTTCCTAGAAGTGTTAGGTATAGTGGCTTGATTCTTGAACAATAACATGCAGAAGTCATTTGGCATGACTTCTGAGTCTGAGTTAAAAGAAAACTTGCAGTTTCTGCTTAAGTCTACTGGAACACTTGTTCGGGGTAAGCCGGTCCCAGTGTAAGAAATTTGACTATCCTGAGACTGCCATGCTTGTAAAGAAGCTCAAGGTAGCTATACGGAGAGACAGCACAGAGAGACAGAGATGCTCAGCCAACCCTCTGCTGTTTCAGTTATCTTAGCTAGGTGATAGACCTTTGAATGAAGACATTATATGGAACATTCTGCCATGTAACTCTCACCTTAGCTGCTGACTGTAATCTCATAAAAGATCTCTAGAACCCAGCTGAGCCCAGTTAACTCACACAACCACGGGAGAAAATAAATTAAACCACTGAGTTCAGAGATGAGTTGTTACACTGTAATAATTAGTAGACATGAGAAGATCCAAAGGTAAGCCAAAGAGATCACACACTGGTCACTTAACGCATCCATAATAAATTAGAATTAGCTCTGAAGTGCATTATATGATTAGCAGGGACAAAGTCCAGGAGAAGTACACTGGTAAATGCCACGAGAGGAGTCCTGGCCTGTTTAGTATTGATTTTATGTCTTTCAAAATTTGAAGCATTGGTGTTCATATTGTTAATCCATTTCTGACAATAAAATACCAGAGGCTGGAAAATGTTTAAACAAGAAAATAAAACACCCCAAATCTACCTTGATCCCATCATTAAACAAACAACAAAAGCTGTTCAGAGATGTTTCACTTCAATGTCCCAGCTATCTCCTCTTCCTAGTACTCCTGTCATGATGAGGTTAAGAGAAGAGGTTTCTAGTACCACAATCGACCTTTCAAAGATTCATACACTTTGTCTACTAGGAAATAATACAAAATAGAATCAGGGACCAGGAGAGAAGGAAAGATAATACGTATATTAAATGATTATCACGACTGTGACTTTCATTCTTTTTAGCTTCCGAGTCAGTGGCCCAGTGTCAGTACCTGGAATATACCTAACCCAATTTCCTTGCAATCTTTCGTTATGCCCACTAATGATCTTTTTCATGCTGAATAAAGGAAACAGTTCTTGGCTTAACAGTTAAAAGTATTTTCATGCCTTAGAAGTTTTTTTCTCCCTTTCTTTTTTTTTTTTTTGACTTTCATTCTTTTTAGCTTCCGAGTCAGTGGCCCAGTGTCAGTACCTGGAATATACCTAACCCAATTTCCTTGCAATCTTTCGTTATGCCCACTAATGATCTTTTTCATGCTGAATAAAGGAAACAGTTCTTGGCTTAACAGTTAAAAGTATTTTCATGCCTTAGAAGTTTTTTTCCCCCTTTTTTTTTTTTTTTTTTGCAAGGAATTTTCTTCTACTCTTTTCCCCCTTAAGACCATCACCAAGGAATACTTTTGTTGCATTTCCAGGGGTTGAAAGTTGTTTTCTCAGCTGGATGGAGATCAGAATCATACAGAAAGTTCCTTAAGGTAACTATACAAAATTATATTGTCAGAAACTTTGCTTAATTTCTCTGATGTGAAACGCAGAATCTCTCAAAGTATTTTGTAACATTATAAAGTTGAAATCAATAGTATAAAACACCTTAAATGATTTAACAGTAGAGACCCTCCAAATTACATGGGATTTTTAAAAAGCATGATTAGAATGAATAAAGAATAGTTTATATACTCTAGTGACTTATTAGGAGTTGATTTCTTAATAGAACGCAGCAAATAGTTTTATAGGTAAGCAGTCAATGATCAGAATTTAGAAGATTTAAATTTACTGTGCTTGTTCTGAAAAAAGTGATTCTTTTGATCATCACATAGTGAAGAGAAGGAATGAAAACTATTGGGGAAAAATATCCTTTAACTATTTCTTGTCTACATTATAGAACAGTAGAATGAGATCACATCAACACGGATATTTACTGAGCATTTATTATGTTCTAGGCACTGATTGGTGTCTTATGAGTATTATATAATTCTCGCAATAACATTATAAAATAGAATTCTTGTCTCTATTTCAAGATAAAGAAAACCCAGTTCACACTGGTGGAGTAAGATCACTTAGAATATGGGGAAAATCCAATGTAAAATTAGTCGGTTTGACTACAGGGTTCTGCTTTTAACTACTGCAATGTGCTATGCTATTGAACAAATACTATAAGAAATTGTTAACCAAAATGTAAGCTCTGTGAGGGCAGGGATTTTTGTGTGTTTGGTTCCACATTTAGTGCCCAGAACTGTGCTTGGCACATAATAAGTGCTCGATAAATATGTGCAACGGAAGTGCAGTGATTGCCTTTGGAGGTGGCAACTATGTTACTGGAGCGAGGAGAAGGAGGGTGACTTACTTTTCACCGTAAACTCTCGTACCTTGGGAATTTTATACCATGTGCATCTATCACCTATTCAAAAAATGAATAAAATTAAAACAAAACAAAACAAAACACAGGGACTGCAGATAAGTCATTTAGGCTGTGTGTTCCATACACTTGAAAAGAAATTTTGATATATACAGGTCTACTAGGTAGATATTAAGAAGTATATGTGCACCAACAAATATCTGGCAAACATAGAGAGGAAACCCAATATTTTACAATATTCGACCTTACTTGCTTCTTGAGACGAAGCAAGAAAAGAATAAGGCAGGAAGAAGGAGATGTATGGTATTAATGTGGTACTTCTGGTAGCTTCTAAAGCAGTGGTTCTCAATCTTGACCTCTATGCTGCATTAGAATCACCTGAAAATTCGTATTTCTAACAAATTCCCAAGTGAATCTGATGCTGCTGGTCCAGGGATCACACTTTGATAACCAGTGGTCTAAAAGATCCTCCAAATTAATAATAGCTATCTAATGGCAGTACTGAGTATCTATTTTCCTGGTGGGAATTACTAGAATAATTAAAACATCATATTCAGCAACTGAATTCAGTGAATCGAGTGCAGCATTTCTCAACTTTCAATATCTATCTATCATCTATCTATCTATCTATCTATCTATCTATCATCTATCTATGTATATCTATATCTGTAATATATGTATATTTACATGACATATATTATATTATCATGTCATATATTATATAATATATGTCATATAGTGTACATATATATCTATAATATATATATATATCTGTATCACCCAGAGACCTTGTCAAAATGCAGAAGCTGATTCTACAGGTATAGAGTAGATCCTGAGATCCTGCATGTATAACAAACTTCCAGGTGACTGCAAACCACACGTTGAGTAGCAAGATAGTAGAGCAATGCACTGAGACCTCTGCTATGAATAAAGCCAACTACTGCCTTTGAAGCATTTAGTCTCCATTAAAGAAGACAAGGGCACAAATAATAATACATTGTCCTACTACTCCTGCTGGCTACGGTTTTAGTGCCTTGCATGTGCTAGACACTGTGCTAAGTGAGCACTTTATATGCGTGGCTCGTTTAATCCTCAACCCTCTGAAGCAAGTACTATTACCGTCCTTTTATAGATGAAGAAACAGATTCAAAGAGGTTCAATTATTTTTCAGAACTCACAGGTCTAATAAGTGAGCACTTTATATGCATGGCTCGTTTAATCCTCAACCCTCTGAAGCAAGTACTATTACTGTCCTTTTATAGATGAAGAAACAGATTCAGAGAGGTTCAATTATTTTTCAGAACTCACAGATCTAGTAAGTGGTAGAATCTAGATTAGAACCCACACGGTCAGGTTGCAGAATTCGAGTTCTTAACCACCACACCGCAATGACAGGAGATGTACAATAGAAATTACAAAGTATTACATGAGCTCAAAGGAAGAGGACATCACATTTGATTGAGTAGATGTGGTAGATGTTGAATGGAGGGTGTGTGAGTAAAGATGATAGAAAGAAGAAAAAAATGGGAAGTTGGCCATTCCTAGCCAGAGAATGAAGCATGAGAGGGAAAGAATGAGAACGCTCCCAGGACGGCAAGCAGGCAGTTTCACTGGAGTGATAGGCAACCGAGTTGTGAGAAATGGGCTGGGGCTGGTTAGGTCATATTTTGAGGGCCCTTGAATTTGGATTATGTAATAACATTTGGCATCCACTTGACAAGCAACATATATTCATCAGTTGGCGGAAATGCAATTCTGTGTTCACCTACATTTTTTTTTAACTGAAAACCCAAACTCTCAAAGCTCTCCCTCTTCCTCTTGTGTTCTGCTCCCTAATTCTCTTCCTATAGCAGGATAGACAGTTGTATCCACCTGATAAACAAAAGGGTGACTGCCATTTACTGAGCACCTACTATTTGCCTGTCACTGTTCTAAATGCCTCCTGTATTTTATTTCTTTTCATCCTAACAGCAACTCCATGTGGTATTAACCCTGTTAGAAATGAGACAAATAAGACTCAGCACATTTTATTTTTTGAAGGTTCAAATGAGGGAAATAAAAATACAAATAACATTGAAGAGGATATATTCTCCATCAATTCAAAATCTTAATAAAAAGATGTTTATCTCCCTTAATGTTTAGACAATAGATATTCAGCATCGAGAATCCAAATGACTATATTTGCTCACATGTCTTTTCTCTCAATCTCCTGATACCGGCATTCTCAGAAAGCAAAAAAGAGTAGAAAGGAAGAGAAATATGATAGTAGTAGGACCCTGATCTACTCAAATTTTAGTTGTGAATGTCTAATTCTATTCTGGAGTCATACACCGGTTAATGAGAAAGTTACTTAGATTCCAGATTTGCACATATTTTGCTCTGCATTTTGCAGTTGGGATCAGGAGCTTATATTAAGCAAGGCCTCCTGTGAATGTTGAGAGATGGATACAAGGACGGAGGTGATGTGCAGATGATGGAATTGTGCCACCCACTTCAGTGGTTCATATGTGTAGCACAGGTATTCCTGCATCTGGCTGGAGGTCAGGAAGGTGTCCATAGCTCCAGTACCTTCTGTGATGATTGGAGGCACAGGGAGGCCCCAAGCCCAAGGTAAAGAATGGAGTGAGCTCTTGCTCCTGCACCCTTCTCATTCCACCTGTCCCCTCTGTCAGGAATGAGCATATGCTAGAGGCCTTCATTTTAACCATTTGTTTTCCAGCATCTCTTGGCAGCAGTGGTTGTTCTTTAAAAACATAAACTAAGTGCTGGAATATAATCTTATCTTGCTTTCCTTGCAAACATGTGAGAACAATGGAGGTAAGTTGAGAACATGTTTGATGAGCAATGAGTGAAATAGGTGGTCTTAAGAAGGCTGAAGAAGTATGTGTCATTTTAAGGGATTCATGTACCTCTTATGGGAGGGCCATCCACTGCTTTCTTTCTTTCCTTTTCCTAGCTCTATCTGCTCATAAGGTTCTGGCTTCATAGGTGGCCAACAAGAAATCAGGCTCGCATGGCAAAGTTTGCACATCTTTTAAATGATAACAAGAATAAGTCACTGTTACCCCATAGAACAAACAACTCTTTGGTCAGGCTGTTTTTTTTTGTTGTTGTTTTTTGTTTTTTTTGAGAAGTCAGTTTGCTTCTTTACTCTTAAATATTGTTCTGTTCTTTGTCACTAGATGTGCTTCTTTTAAAAAACTGTATAGTAGTTTACTGCTCCTTAATCCAGGCTAGACATAGTTTCTAAAGTAAGCATGCATGACTCAGTGTTGGAACTTTTCCAGACGTACCAATGAAAAACGTCCCCTGTGATCTTGGTTGGGTTAATAAACAAACTCATCCCAGAAAGGAAAAATAACTTAGTGTCTTTCCTGTGAAGAGGTAGAGAAAGACAAGTTTGGGACAGATACTATAATTTTTTCATGTTCTTATCAAAATTCCTTAACCCCAATCCCAAAATTCCTTAACCCCAATCCCAAAATTCCTCTTAGTCATCTAAGTAAGATTAGATAGCACACGAATTTTGTCAAATGAACATCTAAGACTAACAACACAATGCAGCTAGGAAGGAGTATAAAGTTTCTAACACTCTTCTCATTATCCCAAATCTATGCCATTTGTAAACAAGACTGGATGATGAATAAATTACTAGCTACAAAGTACCCCTCTGAAATCAGGCATTAAAATGTTGGTTCTTATTTGCAGAGATGTTAGGTAGCTAAATTCAAGATGGCGGTGTCCTGCCTACTGGGTCTTTCTTCTATTCATTCTTTCTTAGCTATTCATCTAGCTTCGATTCCAAATCCAGATCTCATTAGTCTCGGCTTTTCATTACTTAGGTGCATAAGGACCATATGTGCAAAATGAGAACATGATCACTGTCCCCAAGTAAAAAAAAAGGTACTAAGTGGGTAAGGATTTGGCCACTTTCTTATACCTAGACTGCCTTTCACTGTGCAGGGCAATGGTTTATTGGTTTTATATTTCTGACCTATACCTAAGAAGTGTACATATAAGATAAAGACACCCAGGGCCTACTGTCAGTTCTCATCCTCATTGCGGTTCTGGCCCAGATGGTCACACCATCCCTTCTCATTTGTAACTTCTTCCTCTAGT